TTTTTTTTTTTCTTTTCTACATCTAATTAAGCACTAACTGATTTTACTGCTTTGTTGCCTTTACATTGCTTATTCTTATTGACTGAATTCTGTCCCTCATTCACTTTGTTTTGTTTGAAATTTAAAATTATTTTCTTACTGTATTTATCATACCTATTGTTTTAATAATCTGCTTTCTTTAAATGCAATAAATCCCAAATGGATTGCATATTCTTTATAATTAGTGACTTTGGCGTTTTTCATTGTTTGTCATAAATGTTTTGGATGTAAACTTCTATTCAGTTTTCTTTTATTCACACTACAGACATTAAGCACCTATTATGCTCCAGCTAGTAGAATAGAAAAGGGAAAAGGGATTAGATCTCAATCCTTAGGGTAAAGCTCACAGTGTAATTCAAGAAAACCTGTTATGACCTAGCATTTTTTGCAGCAAAAAACACCACATAGCACAATTTGTTCAGGCATTACAATTACTGATAATTATAATGAAGGTAAGGCAAAAACATGACTTTGAACTAGCTTTTGAATGTCTGACATTGTTTTTGCATTATGTATAATTTACTTAAGCTCCTTAGAAACTGGTAACATATAGAATTTAAAAACTCTTTGGTTAAATAAGATACTGTAATCCTTGATTATGTCAGAAAAGAGGCTTTGGCATGTTAAAGAGAAAACCTATTTATTGGATTGGTGGACTAAGTTTGGTGTTAAGATCACATTATCTTACATATTATTCCATAGTCTTTAGATTGGTGGCTTGTGGAAAGATCCATTTTATTATGAGCTGTTTTGGATGTAGTGAGATTTATCTAAAGTTATGTGGAAAAATAAGGATTTTGTGTCTTTTTAATAAATGGCACACAGTGTGGATTGTACTACTGTTCAAATTCAGTTATAGTTAACTGCTTTAGAGAAAAGTCTATGCTGCAATTAGAGCTATTTATTTTGAATAGCTTATCCCTTTTTAAGCAAGTCCAGCTCTGGCATCGTGTGTGGGATGCAGGTAATTATTCTCATATTGAAGGCACGAGTTTTACATTGCACATTTAAAAATAGTTCGCTTTTGCTTCAGGTGATTGGCACTATTGAAATTACATGTATGTTCTGTAGTGTTTTTGATCCCAGACATATAAAGCAGCACTAGAGCCTTGGTGACAATAGCATTCCTGCCCTCCATGGATGGAATTTTCACTTTTCACAAGAGACCCCTGCTGCTGGTAGCTCTCCCTCATGAAAGTGTTTCCTTAAAGGTAGTTGCAGTTTTGGCTCCTTATCTCACCACCTCCTCAGAAGTCTGGTACAGAGTTTTGGGGGACACTGGTATCCAGTAGCATCTGTACCTCTTTTTAATACAAACATAGTAATTGTGATAATGCATATAAAAGACTTGTGTCCCTCCCCTGGTGGCTGATTCTTCACACATTTTGGCAGGGATGGGATTACCCAGAATGATGACTTCAGGTGGATACAGACCTACTCAGCTCAGCAACTGGCAGGGATCCAGAAGTGTAGACTTTGCCCCTTCATGTTTAGTACAGGGCAAAGATATCTCCAGGTAGGTACCTGCCAAATGGAGTTGCACACCTTTATGCCAGTCAGTCACAATCTTCAAATCGGTTACTTTGTCCAGGTGGGATGCCATAAGATGTGACAGTCCCTGAATTCTTCATTCCTGATTCTAAAATATGATTTTGAAGCTGTTACGTATTATAAAGAATGACAGGCAGCACTTAATATATTTAGTAAACCCAGTTTATTTACATAATACATATTTTGCCATGCAGCTTACTGAATTGCACTCAGTGTCATAACAAAAAAGACAAGCACTATCTTTTGAAAATGGCTTTATATAGAAAGATAATTGCCTCAAATTAGTCAACTACAACCTTATAAATCACTATAGACAATTTAAAACAGCCATGGATAATTTTAAAATGTACTTGTAAAGTCTGTAGGTAAAGAGCTTTTATAGTTTACACACTGTAAAATTAAAACCAGCCTTTTAGTACGGTAGCTGAATTGTGTATTTTTAATCTTATTTTAATAAATCTATAAAAACAAAAATAACTCAAATATACATTATTACAAGGCTCAGATCTGGAGGCAATTTTTAAATAGTTATTCTTTAATGTTAGCAATGTCTTAAAAATTTTGCCAGTAGTGATATGCACACAGTAGGTGGTCAATAAACGCTGACATACAGAAGTGTTTATTAGTTGACAGCAATCCACATCCATTCCCTACTTTATAATAAATATATCATAGTAAAGATGAAAATGAGAGCAGATAGCTTTCTTACAGTATTTAACATTTTCATAAAAAGATGAAAGGTTTACATGGTATACTTCTCCCTACAGTCAGACCTGTATGCCTTTTAAATGAAACAAAACAAAACAAAACAAACCCAAAAAACAAAACAAAACAAAAAGTCAAACACAGTATGATCTTTTTATCCATGAATTCAGATGGCAAGGATTAAATAATTCATATACTATTACAAAAAACCAGAAATATTTTTTAAAAATTAAGAGAAAGTGAAACTTACAGTTCAATATGTTTTTATTTTGAGAAGATTTTATAGTAAAAGTGGTATCAGGCCTAAAATAACTAGACTTTTTAAGTATAACTACTCAGTGTATTTTGTTTGGCTAAAATGACAAAATATCTATTTAAAATCAGTATCATGTAAACCCGTAAGAGATGGTTTAGGGAAAATACATCCTATTATCATTACACTAAAGTCTTCTTTCACTTAACACATAGATCAAATCTGTGGCCTTATAAAATAGCCATTTTCAAAGCAGTGTGTTCCATCATCATAATGGGTATAATACAGCACCCTTAGTCTACTGGGAAGATTCTACTTACTGAGATACTAGCATGGGGAATTTATATTCCAAAAACACTATACTGAAAAGAAATACAAAATTTTACAGATGCATAAACTGAGGCACATTAAAGTAACATTCCTAATACCAGATGTATACGTGGCAATGTGGAAATAAGCTTCACCATCAATCAACACTTCTGATATTTGGTAATTCCAAGGTTCTGAAGATACACCAGTATTCAAAGCAACTCCTGTCAACCCATTAAGAAATCTGAATAATAATTTATATTCCAACGAACAGCATGTTTTTGTGAATGACTGCTTTAAGGAACTTAATTTATACATGACAAGGCCAAAGAACAAGAAGAGTGCTGTATGGTAGGGCAGTGAGATCTATTTTTTAGGTATATATAATGAGTAAACTTAATGTTTCAGGCTCAAATATTAGTGTTATCAATACTGTGAGTTGTCAATAAAATGCTAACACATGCATAAACGGAAAGACTAGAGCACAGGTAAACAATCATGTCATCAAATGGGGAATCAGCATGACTTTGTTCTAAGGCTTAAGGTTCATTTCAGGGTCAAGACTGGGCCATCTGGACTCTGTGGCCTTGAAAGTGGCACCCATCTAATTGGGAACCCCCATCCGTCACGAAATTTAGGACTGCAAATTCAGTGAAATTCTTCTACAGGAATTTTGGAACCAAAAATCTGTAATCCACTGGCAAGAGTGCAATTATTATATGGAACTAAATAATATTCTTCAAAATTAAAAGGATTAAATGCTAATAATGTCTTAGTTATTATTAGACCACAGAATTTGTTGCCTGATCATATAATCAGTTTTTAATGTGATTCTTATCCGATGGAAAATGATGCAAGTTCTTTTCTTCTCAAAGCCTCTCTCAAGGGAGGAAAGGATTGAAGTTTTTATTCTAGCAAACCAAAAAATACAATGTTCCTAAGGAGAAGAGAGACTATAGCTAAAGGAAATCATATTTTAAGTGCCAGTTTCTCACAAACCATATATTTAAAGGCTAGTAATTATTCAAAACCAGTCTCCTAGCTTACGTTAAGCATAGGCTATTGCAACCTTCGCCTGGTTAGGCACTTAAAACTTGATCAACTACTGTAAATATCTTCTATTAAAGGAATCAAACAGGATGACTCCATTTTATAATGGAGGTGAGCCCTTCCTAAACAAATTAAGCTGGTGTTAAGTAAAACAAATACTATTTCTATACTGGTTTCACATTCATTGTTATTCAGATGTTTCTTATAAATGCCAACTAATTTTCACTTTCTGTACAAGCAGCAAATTAGTAGTTTTAAGGGCTGTAAAGTAGTTATTATTACAGATCCCCAAGTATATTTTTCCATTTTTATAAAGTAGTACTCATGATATATTAAATAGGAGGAAAAAAAAATTACGGTGAATCTTAGAAACAGTGGGGTATACAACTCCCCATTACATATTGCTTAATAACTGAATACAGCAGGTGGCCATACCTGAATTCACAAATGTGAAACATAGTCAGGGCAAGGCTTGCTATGTCTGTACTGCATGACATACACTGTTGACTGATGCCACCAATATAACATCACTACTGCAAGGATATGCCATATTTGGTGGCTTGATCCGAGGTAGTTTAGTTGTCCTAGAAGGGAAGGTAGAGAAAAAAGAATATTGATTCTAATATTTTGATATTAAAATAAGAATATATTCCTATGTCTGGCCTTGGACATATGGCTTAGCAAAAATATTTTGGCCATCTCAGAGCACCTGGAGAGTAATTCAAACCCAGATGTTTTTAAAAAAGGATGAATTCATATTTTGGTCTAATTTAAGGACATTGGTGAATTTTGGAAATACTATTCCAAGTGTGTTCTCAAATCTAATTTGGTTAATTTCAGGAATTTGACCTTTTGTCTCCAATGTCTTATACATCTGGATACACACACACACACACACACACACACACACACGTATATATCATGGGTTACATCTGCAAAATGCAATTAGTAATGGCTTCATTAAGTAAGGTTGATTAGTTCATATACAACTTAGAACTATTTCTCTTTGTGCTTAAAGTTTAAATTCCAAGGAGATGAATTAACATATGGGAAGCCTCTTGAAAAATACCAAAATAAAATACAGAGTTATAGAAATTTAAATGTAAGTAACTTTTTCTTACTCATGGTGCTTCTATGGTCATGTAATATAAATATTCTCTAACCTTACCTGTCTTATCAAGAGTAATAGTACACTATATAGATTTTATTTATTTAAATGTTCATTTTTGAGAGAGCTCAAGCTGGGGGTGGGGCACGCAGAGGGGAGGACTGAGGATGTGAAGCAGGCTCTGTGCTGACAGCAGTGAGCCTGAAGTGGGACTTGAACTCATGAACCCTGAGATCATGACCTAAGCCGAAGCTGGATGGATGGTCAACTGACTGAGTCACTCAGGTGCTCCAGTATGTAGATTTTAAAGTTTAAGTCAACACAATCCTTTCCACAGGGGTTTCTACCCTTTTTTTGGTGCCACAGACCACTTTGACACTCCAGTGAAGCTCAAAGACTCATTTTTAAAAGCACAAAATGCAGAGGACTACAAAGAAAATTGATCACATTGTAATACAAGTATGCAGATCCACTTAATTCTGTCCATGGACACCTTTGGTGATCTTTGGACCCAATCAAATATCATTGTGATGTTTACATATTTAAAAAAATGTAACTGAGGTGAAAGTAATTTCTTAGGTATAAATTTTTTTATTTCACAGTATTCACCCACCATCTTACCACCACTGCACATATTTCTCTCTCTCTCTTTTTAAGTTTATTTATTTTGAGAGAGGGAGAGAGGGAGCATGTGTGTGAGTAGGGGAGGGGCAGAGACAGGAGGAGAGAGAGAATCCCAAGCAGGCTCCGCACTTGCAGGTTGTGGGGTTCATGGTTCAAACCCATGAACCATGAAATCATAACCTGAGCTGAAACCAAGAGTTGGACACTTAACTGACTGAGCCACCCAGGTGCCCCGCACATGTTTCTCTTTACATCCGGGTCATAAATGGGGACTGGCCAGCCAGACAAGGTTTCTAAGCCACTCATTCATGAACGTCTGAGACTATAACTTTTATCTGTAAAGACTTTTTGTCTTGTATGGTCTCCATATGTCCACTGCTCTACTGTGCCTGTACTCCACACATTCAGCTACTTGGGGCACATTTTATGTCAAGATCACCTGGAAGAAAAGTGACATAACATTTGACCTTTTATAGGTGTCCTCTATTAGGTAACTGGGAACTTCAGATATGAATATTCTAAGGCATAAAAACACTATGGCCATAACTATGTAGTTCAGAAAAATTTCATCATTCAATTTTCTACGTGTACTTGTGATGAAGAAATTAATAATAATTATTAATAAGGTGATATAAAAATGCATTTTGCCACAACTGTTTTTTGAGGAAAATTCTGCTCTGCATGAAGATGGTCTTCAATTAAGGGACATGTCCTTCTTATGTTACTAAATCCTAACGTTTACACTCAGGTTCTTCTTGGTACTCCACTTTTAAAGCTCAGAGGTGAAAAAACCAAGTGCACAGAAGAATGCCTGAGGTTCTGTGATCTATTCTCTAGATCAGGGTTTCTCATCCTTTCTTCTTCCCAACACATATCATAAGTGGCATAATCCTGTCTTCAATTCACTGTGGAAGATTCTTCACCCAAGAAGGAGGGACAAGTCTGCAGTTTGAATTTGAGCCACACACCTACTTCTACCTCCCCGAACCAAAAAAAATCACTGCTGTATGCACTTTGTTATTCTCGACTCAAGCCAAAGGTCACCTGGACTTGCATCATTCTGTGCCTTACTAAACCCCATTTTTCACTTACGGGACTGAGGTGGAGGGACGTCATCATAGTAACAACTGCTAACGTGTATTGAGTGCTTACTTCTTGTGAGGAACCTTGCTGAATGGTTCTTGTACATTTTCACACGTAATCCCCACAATAACCCCATGAGGGAAAGTAGTATCTCCATGCTCAGATGAGGAAATGAGCTGAAAAAGTGAAGTAACTTATTTAGCTCATGCAGCTAGTAAGCGGGCAATATGGATTTGAACCCAAGCAGTCTGACTCCAGAGCTAAAGCTCCTGAACAAGCAAATACATGTTTTGGAGAACATTATTCATTCTACCTGGTATCCTGTTAGTTATTTTCTATCAGAAGTCTTTTTCTCTGGACTGGAGGATCAGGGAAATCTTTCCTTCTATTGAGTCACTAGCTTGTGTATATTTTGGGGACATGAAGACCCTTAACTTACATTATTTGTACTGGGTGCCAGGAAGCGGAAATGCAGACTGGTGATCTTTATTTATATTTAGAACCTCATGATGGATATATGGTGAAGTGGTCCTAACCCTGGCTTCTTTTCATTATCATCTTATTTTCCTCTGTCTCTTTTCTTCTTATTTTATGGATCTCTGCATATATAAATTATTTTTTAAGAATGAGTTGGTATATAAAGAAGTCATTGGTAATAGATAATTAGTACTTCACAAAATAAACAGTGGTTGGGAGTCAGAAGAGTCCCAGCTTTGTCACTAGCTCCTAATTGTGAAATGGTAGTGACCTCATCTACTACACTCAACTCGTGGTGAGGAGGAAAGGAAGTCTATGGAAGCCCTTTGAAAGTTAAAGTTTTAGATAACATTGGACAATAGGAGAGCCTTTCTATAACCAATAATACTGAAATAACTTTTGATACTCTGAAACATACACCTCCACCATATATTTAGAATAAAGTCACAAAAAGCACTATAAAAGTGTTACTTACCTGGAAAGTACCGTTCTGGAACTTTGGAAATGTAGAATAGGAAAGCAAGAAGAGCAATCACATACATCACAATTACACGGGGTGCAAAGTCCTGAAAAGCAAAACATTTTTTCACAGATCTTCCTACTATGACCGAATTCCCAATTTACTGTGAATCTAATTCATTGATTAGGTAGAATTCAGAGGCAGAATTTAAGCCCATTAAATCTAAATTGCTTTTGTAGAGAGTATCCAATAATAGAAAACTTGCTCTCAATACTGTAGAAAATAGCCCACAGGAGGGAACAGAGAGTGTCCTAAAGGTTAGGGTAATAAAGGAAGTAGAGCTTGAACATGGCTGAAGGTCCTAAGGACACCCAACTCCACCAACATAGTTTCATGGGTGGAATGCACATGGGGAATGGAGTTATCAGCTGAAGAAGCAAAACACTGAAGATCAGGGACCTGTGGCCAGAAAAGACTGCAGAGGTTTGGCCAAACAATGCAATGTGTTCCACCATCCCAGATAATGGTCCTCTTGAATACTACTATATGAAGCAGTCCATCTCTCAGCTCCACTGGAAAGCTTTCCCTTGCCCTAAGAAAATTACCCAGCTATAATTTATTTTATAACAATTTTGTATATTGTTATCAATTCTGGTTGTAAACCTAATACACCAAGAAGACATTTAAGAAATAGAGACAAAATTACTTCTCTCTACAAATATTTGAGAATTATCAGGGTCCTCCTGAAAACCTACATTCTTAGACTAATGAACATGAGATTTCTCATTCTAGAACACAACTGCAACCAATCCCCAGGATTAGCCCTTCCAGAACTTTTCATTTTTGGTTAAGTCTCTCTCTCTTTCTCCATCTTTTTTTTTTTTAATTTTATGTTAGAGATAGAGAGTGTGTGAGTGGGGGAGAGGGGCAGAGGGAGAGGAGAGAGGGAGAGAATCTTAGGCAGGTTCTACGCTCCGTGTAGAGCCTGACACATGTCTTGATCCCATGACCCTGGGATCATAACCTGAGCCGAAATCAAAAGTCGTTCTCAACACAACTGAGCCACCCAGGCACCCCTCTCCATCTTTTCAAAAGTATAGCTTATTGGAAAATTTCTCTGGAAGTCTCCCTTCTTCACTGGAATGATCTGTGATCACATTAGATTTCCATCTTTCAGAACCACTATTTTCCTAAACCATATTTCTATTTTAAAATTTCTGAACACAGGAAAGTTCCCATATTTTTCTGAATTTCTCAGAAATCCATTGGCTCAATAGGTCTGGTTCTCTTTCTTTGTCATTATAAGATTAAAAGGGATGTGTATACATCATCCCAAATTTTGGCCTCTTCTATGTCAATAACCAGTTATTCATTTCTGGTTAGAATTAAATCTGGAGTTGCATTTCACCATTGTTTTCTTTAACTTATTTTCAAGAAGTAAAACTGTCAGAGAAGTGATGTTTTCATAGATATCAGGATCACTGAGGTTCCTCATCACTACTATCTCACTTTTCTCCTAAATTCCTATTTTTATGAAGAAAACATCACCCTTTTTCTCAAGTTGGCAAAGTGGCCAGATCATATCACTCAATTTGCTATATCACAGAACTTTCTTTCCTCCTTCTTTTCTTTCTTTCCTTTCTTTCTTCTTTTTCTCCTTTTCTTTTCTTTCTCCTTCCTTCTTTCCTTCCTTCCTTCCTTCCTCCCTTTCTGTTTTATACCTAAATGCTTTCTACCATGCTGTTACCAACTTCATGCAGTGTGTGTAAAGCCTATTATTAGTTCCCTGGTCTTCTAAAAAAACTAGGATTTTTTTTTTTTTTTTTAATAAAACCTGCATTTAAATCCCCATATTTCAGACAAAGGTCTCACTGCAACAAGTATATCTGCTTTCTGCTAGATTTCTTGGCATACTTACTGATGTTAAAAATTCTTAAATTTATTCTCCAGTGCATATTTAAGGCATTTTTACATGGATCTCTGAGATCTGAAGTCTTATTTCTAATCTCAAGAATACTGAGGAGTTCTCACTGAGCCACTTCTTTAATGTACTCCGACTTGGCCCATAATACCTAACTCTTATAGCTCTTCTTTTACTTCTCAATATAATTTCCTTGATGGGTGGGACATGATCAAATCTTCATCACTAGTTTCAAACTCTGACCTAAATTCCAACCCCATCTCCACCTTTACATCCCACAGGTGCCTCGACTCAACAGGTCCAAGGAAAAATCTTTCCCAGCTCCTTCTCCTCCACAAAAATCCATCAATCAATTCCTCCTAGTTCCAAATTTGCGTTATCACTGGCATTATCTCTGCCCTAGCTGACAAAGCTGGAAACTTGGAAGTCCTCCACTGATAATGACTTGGGTATTTACACACTCAAGGAGAGTTAAGAATATATCATTTCACAGAAAGATATCGCAGAAAAAAACAGTAGTTACACTTCTTTATCCTGCAAGGCGTACTTCTTTATATAGATGTGAAAATTATGGCATCAATATGCAGTTATAAGTATTTTCTCAAATGACACAGACCCACCCACCTGGTCTGATTATAGTACTTTACCCAAAATGAATACAACTGAAAGGACAAAAAAAAAAAAAAAAAAAAAAAAGAAAAAACCATTGACTACATTCAACCTACCTGTACAATAGGAGCACCGATTCCTCCATTGAGCCAAACCCAGTGAAGAGTTGGGATCACTCCGTATCCCGAAACAGAACAGAAGATGATAGAACGGAGCCTCTGCCACTGCTGGGTGAGGTAATTGGGATGGATCTGTGCGAAGAACACTGCCAGGATCATGGCAAGCACTGTGATCAAGTACACTTGACGCCAGTACTAGAAGGAAATCAAGTGTTAATTGTTACACAAATAAGAGAAGGAAAAGACTAATTCTGGCTTTTACATTATATGTAGAAGACTACTTATGTAGTTTTTTCATTTCTAAACATGATGAACTTCCTTCCTTACAACATTCCTGTTCCATATAACTGTTAGGTTTCTTAGGAGGACAAACCAAATTCCAAAGAGAGCTAGTGGAAACCACACTTACTCATAAAAAAGCATTTTTTGAGTACCTATTATATGCCAGAGACAACTTCAGTCCTGTAGAAACAAAGCTGACTACGACATGGACTCTCTCAGTGAGTGAGCTCATAGACTATGGGAGGGGCAGACATAAAGAAATGATTATAATCCAATGACAAGAGCTGTGAACAGAATGTGTGAACACAGAGGAGGGGACAATTGTTACCTAGAGTGGCTAATAAATGCTTCACAGAGGAGATGATATCTAAGCAGGGTCTTGAGGAATTCATATGATTCTGTGGGAAGAGGGAGTTCTCAAGGAAAAGGAACAGAGCATACGGTGGGAAGGTTTTGAGAAGGGAGGCTGAAAGGCAGCGTACTGTGAGGCTAAGTATTTGGAACTGTACCGTGCTGGCACTGGGGGAATGGCAGCGTTAAGAAGGAGATGACGGGCTTGCTTTTCAAAATGACTTATTAGAAATAGAACTCTGACATCAGTGTGAAAAACAAAGAGGTGACAGGAAGCCAACTAGAATATTAATTGGAATAACTGATTCAAAGAGAGAACAGGGGCTTGGGCTCTTGTTGAACAAAGAAGACAGATGTAAGCAGCAGATTCAGGAGACTTTTTAAAAATAAACTAAAATCTTAATGGCTGACTGGATGTGTGAGAGGGCAGTAGAAGATAGCTGGACTGTTCCCAGTAAGAAAGGCCATGCAAGTGGCTTTTACTAATGCAGCAAATGAGCAAAGATGAGCCAGGTGTGTCTGTGTGTGTGTGTGGGGGTGGGGGGTGAGGGAGAGAGAATGGGAAAGCATGAGACAATGATCATTTTAATTTTTTTTAATGTTTGTTTGTTTTTGAGAGAGAGACCGTGTGCAAGCAGGGGAGGGGCAGAGAGACAGGGAGACAGAGAATCCAAAGCAGGCTCCAGGCTCTGAGCTGTCAGCACAGAGCCTGATGCAGGCTTGAAAACACGAACTGCAAGATCATGACCTGAGCCGAAGTCAGACACTTAACCAACTGAGCCACCCGGGTGCCCCAAAACAATGTTCATTTTTAAATATTTTAAGTCTGAAGGGCTTATAGAATATTTAGGTATCTAAATGAGCAGTTGGAAGCTCAAAAGTTAGCATCACATGGGGCAGAGTTCTTCAGCTGGGCTCCAAGGACTTCTGTAGGGCTACTAGCTCCCTGAAATCCCATGTCAAATTGTTTGGTTAGTCTCTGCCCAAATGTACATTCTCCTGGACGGAGGGTCTAGAGTTTTCAATTGCATTCTCAAAGTAGCCTGTGTTCCTTAAAAGATAAAGAGCCACTATAGAAACCAGATATTTGGAAATGGTCGGGTACCAGAGGAAAGAAAACAATTTTTCCTTTAAATAATCATTAGTTCCAGGGGCACCTGGGTGGCTCAGTTGGTTAAGCATCCGACTTCGGCTCAGGTCATGATCTCATGGTCCGTGAGTTCGAGCCCCGCATCGGGCTCTGTGCTGACAGCTCAGAGCCTGGAGCCTGTTTCAGATTCTGTGTCTCCCTCTTTCTCTGACCCTCCCCCGTTCATACTCTGTCTCTGTCTCAAAAATAAAATAAACATTAAAAAAATTAAAAAAAAAATAATCATTAGTTCCAGTAGTTGTCTTTCTCCTACTTCTAGCTTTTCTGAAGAGAGATGCACAAAGTGTCCCACTAGTCTCCTGGATTATCAGGTATGTTTAGGAACAGGTAAACAAAAAACGGCTTAGGTTTCAAAGAAAGAAAGAATAAGTAAAACAATTCAATCATTACATAACTGCACTCACAAGCTCCTAGCTATCAGCTTATTCCCTCAAATTTTCTAAAAGATGTAAACAGTTTCATGCAAAATCAGTAAGTGAAAGCTGAGCAGATATGAGTACTTTACTCAAATCAAATTAATTTACAAGGTTAACTGCATATATGTTTAATTATATGCTTAAGTTCCAACATGATTAGGCCTAAAAAGCAAATGGCTCATAAGTAAGTGGCTACAATGAGCAATTCTCTTACTTCAAACCAAATTTATGATTTTCCTGTTTGCTAGTTTTACACTTCAGCTTTACTGGCAGTCATCTCTGTTACTGCGTACAGACAAAGGTCCTACTTAAGAATTCCCAAGTCAGCAGAATCCTGTGCTGTAGCCAGTCGTCCCAGGAAGTGACGGCTGGGGAGTCTGGCTTGGAGCACCTGTGACATGCGGAGGGCTTGTGGAGAGGACAGGCTCTAGTCCTTGTGAAGAGGGCTAGGGGTGCCTAGGATGTGAACTGCCCCCGAGCAGCTCTGTTCTGGCTCTGAGAGGAAGAAACTAAAGGACAAAAGAAAAAGAAAAGAGTAAGGTAGGAGGGCAGGACTTTCTGAGTGGGAGGGCTTGCTGGGCCCAGGGGAAGATTCAGTTTGCTTCCTCAACTGGGACATGAAGTAATGAGGTAGAGAGTTATCTTCAATAGTTTGGCGGCCCAATATTTTTAGCTCAGGTGCTATATGATCTGATAGCAGGGCTTCAAATGGTGCTTTGCACAAGGACACAACTGACTTTGGTGACATCAGAGTCAGAAGGTAGAGCTGATTTAGAACTCAGAATAGATGCATATTTGTTAAGTCACTTACCTCCTAGCTGGTCTGCCTCTATGCCTACCTCCAAATGTAAGACTAAGGAAAGGAAAACATATTTCTTATGAAGAATTGGGTCAACACACTCACAGACACACCCTTTATTTTTTCCACTGAAAGAGGAGTAAGGATCAGGGAAAATAGCAAGCAGCAGCCAGCTTCCTAATTTTATCAAGCGCTAACTTTAACTTCAGATCTATAGACACAAAAATAAAAGACATGTAATGTGCATCTGAGGGATCACATAGCTATATGGGTTTAGTGGAAACGTAACTTTTGGTTTTGAGAAAATTAGTTTACATTAGTTTCAAGAAAATATCTTCAAATATATATTTCAATGGAAAATTAGTAAAATGAGTATGGAACTGATAATAGATGTTAGAGATCGCAGGGCCATTTTGAAAAATGAGTTTATATACACACGAGACTCTTCTGTTTCTTCTATAACTTAATTATGTGTTTATTCAGAAGTTCAAAGGAAACATTCATGGCAATAAAACCCAAGACCTACATGAAAAGTAGAATATAAAATGTTTTAAGTTACTTACATTATTACAATAAAAAGCATAAAATACACCAGAGACATAGCAGCCCAGTATTCCAATAGAAATTCCTGCATAATCTAATGCCATCCATCTTCGACAGGTTTTTTCTGATCGATGGCAAGAAAAAAGATGATAGCCCACAGAGCAAAGCATACAGACCTATGGAAAATAGAACAAATCTTAGCAAAGCTAAACAAAAAGAAATTAAAGCAACTCCTGTGTGGCAGTCAGTTTCCTTTTTAAAAAAGTACCCACTGTAGAAGTAATCCATGTCCTTAAAAAGATAATCAAAGAACACAGAATTGTATGATGTAAAAACATAAGCTCCTCCCACTTAATCTATTACCCAGGATTAGCCCCTGATAACATTTGTTATGTGTCCTTCTAGGTATCTTCAAAGAATGTATTGAACATGTATGATATACAAGTCCACACAGACACATATGATATATACTTTTTAAAGTTAATCAAATGGAATCAAATTATACATTCTGTTCTGCAATTTGGTTTCTTCACTTAAGACTTTTCGTGTCTGTGCAAGAGTTCATTGTATAGAGTTTATTTTTGGGTTGTGAGTTAAACACAGCTTTGTTGTGTCCAAGAAAAAATGATTATGACTTATGCTGACTTTATGTGTTGCCATATTGAGAGCAAAGCTAATCTGATTCAGCTGCTCTTAAGATTGATAAGGTCGTTATGGTTGAACTCCCTTCAGCCATTAAATACCTGCTGTGTATCATGCACTGGGGATTCAAAGATGAGACCTCTATTCTCTGAGAGATTTTTCTGAAATGAATGAACGAACAGTGGTAATAGAAGAAGTCCTATAGGAAAAGTCAGTGCAGAGCACAGGGGAGGAGGGGAGGAATGGGCTTGTGGGTGTATGTGTGCATTTGGTGGGTGAAATGGTGGGGAAAAGAGCTTCACAGAAGGGATGCCACTTACACTGGATCTTAAAAGGCTGTTCTGGCATTCCTCAAGAATATAAATAAAAGTGCTCACATATTTATTGGAGGGTCCACAGGAAAAGCAACATATTGAAAACACAGACCATTAAGGACTGTCATGTGGCCCTCTCATAATACAATTATGACAAGTTCTACACATCAAAGAATTTTAACATCAATATGATGGGCTAGGTGTGCTACTACTGAAGAGTTTAAGTGCAGTCTTACAGAAAGGCTAAGATGGGAGGTTTTAAGAGTAGCCCTAGAGAGCAGTGGCAAGACCCTATCCTAAGCCAGTGACAGTGGGGGTACAGAAAATGGCACAGATAGATTATATGAAGTAGGTCAAACTGACAAATATTTTGTAAGCAACTGCTAAGGCAGACAAATGGTCAGGTAGCTATTCCAGAATCTGGTCATTAAACAAACCTAATCAGGCACCACAGCCTCAATACCATTATTTAAAAGTGTACCTAGCCGCAATGTCATTTCTTCATCCATAGTCTAAAATCTTCATCAGTCTGTGGCTTTGGCTACTAAGCCACAAGTCAGGAGTTCACTGACCCAATTAAATATAATTCTAAGAAGCTTGGTTATTTGTTTTCTCAGATTACCCTTCAGATTAAACACAGTAAATTCAGAGAATACCAAGGTACATATTTTCATTGACAAGGAAAGATCTCATCGTCACAATGTTGAGTGACACAAAACAGCAAGCAGAGATGATGATAGCTCAGAATTAGGTAGACAGGTAAGTAGGCAGGCAGGAGGCAATTGCTCATACACAAATGTCTGGGGGAACTTAACCGAAATGTCAAATGTGGTTACCTCTGGAAAGCAGAATTTCAAATGGCTTTTACTTTCTTCCATATACTGTTTTGTTTGTTTGAACTCCTACATGAATATATTTTATGGCAATAGTAAGAAATAGTAAAGCCAGTTTTATTGTGAAAAGGAAAATAAAGAGAAAAATTACAATTATCAAAAGGAAAGTTGAATATAGAGTGTAGTAGAGAACACTGAGTTTTTAAAAAGTAAACCTATACTTAGTATGTTCTGTTTTATTTATTTATTTATTTATTTATTTATTTATTTATTTTTTAATTTTTTTTTTTCAACGTTTATTTATTTTTGGGACAGAGAGAGACAGAGCATGAACGGGGGAGGGGCAGAGAGAGAGGGAGACACAGAATCGGAAACAGGCTCCAGGCTCTGAGCCATCAGCCCAGAGCCCGACGCGGGGCTCGAACTCCCGGACCACGAGATCGTGACCTGGCTGAAGTCGGACGCTTAACCGACTGCGCCACCCAGGCGCCCCAGTACGTTCTGTTTTAAAAGAAATGTATTATTATTAGAGTTCCTTAAAAAAACTGCCTGAAAAATTATCTGACAAATGGAGTATGGTTTCAGTTTTCTGGGAACTTTCCGTCTGTGGAATATCTCTCTCCATCAAGGTAGACAGAAAATCAGAGTGTGACATTCTATATCAATCTCCTTGGCATGATAACCAAATACTTCAGGATCTGGCTTCTTCTTCTTCAGCCTCATCTTTCTCCATTCTCCTATGATCCAACCAGAAAGGTCAACACCTACAAGTCCAGAAAGTGCTGAACTATCTCTTGCTTCTGGGCCTTTACACAAACTATTTTTTCTGCTTAAATGCCCTGCCTCACTCCCTTCGGCCCTCCCACCTAGGTGACTTGATTTTTATGACAGGTTGGTTTTGTTCAGCACTGTATTCCCGATGCCTAGCTTAGTGCCTGGGTCTAGATAGGAGGCATTCAAAAAAATATTTGGGGAACTGAATGTAAATGAAATGAATCTAGGGAAAGGCATGCCTATATTCTACTCTTCCCTCATACAGAAAGACCTCTAGGAAAGTTCAAAGACCTTGAAATTACATTCTACTATTCTACATTCAGAATGTACTCTAATAATCTGGTTGGTAGGAAAACACTGAGCATATAAAATGGTACACGTGAAAGAGGAAAAAATGTTATGTCTTTTAAAAATTACATGTAAATTGGGGCACTGGGTGGCTCAGTTGGTTAAGTATTTGACTTCAACTCAGGTCATGATCTCACAGTTCGTGGGTTCGAGCCCTGCATCAGGCTCTGTGCTGACAGCTCAGAGCCTGGGGCCTGCTTCAGATTCTGTCTCCTTCTCTCTCTGCCCCTCCCCTGCTCGTGCTCTGTCTCTCAAAAATAAATGAATGTTAAAAAAATTTTTTTTTAATTACATGTAAATCAATCCTTGTGATTTACCATATTGCCTGCTCACTCTAAGAATTTAGAAAAATTGAGCAAGTTATAAATTTAATTTCATAAAAATAAAATAACAGAAATGGTAGTTTTCAGTAGGGAAGATGTGCTGTCTTCAGCTGTCATTAGCATCTTGTCCAGAAAGATCATTGCACTAGTAGCTAGAACAGGATTTAACTGTCCTGCTCAGTAACCCTGGGCAAGTCACTGTAACATTTTGGGTGTTTTTTCATTGGCAGTTGTAATTATTTCAGCTTTTCAGCTCTGCAATGCATTGTTTTCTTAAGCCAATATAAAAATTAATATGCTTTCCCTGAATTAACATCAGTTCTGGCTAGATGGTGAAGGAATAAAGGGAAGAGCTGGGGGCTGAGGAAAACATGTGGGATTCTCAAAGTAGATACTATCCATATAATTAACAGTAGAGTATAAACCAGTTCTGCTTATTAATGGTTATTAAGGGCATCTTAGTCTGTAAGATACATCTAAAAATTTAACTGTAAAGAAATTGATTCATTTTCATTTTCAAACCAGAGATGGATTCTAAGAGATGTTTAGGCTGCCATCAGGACAAAAATCAAACCTGAGAATGAGTATACCGTAAAAAATACTTAAAGAAAAAATAAATTTCAAATAATAATAACATAAAAATACAGGTATTCTTTCACTTAAAGAAATTTAAAATTATTCCAGAAACTAGAATTAGGAAAAAAAGGGGAGGGGAGATGTTCCCAATGTGTTTTTGGTCATTTAACTCCCAAGTTTTAACTTGAGTTGAATGATGAAGGTCTGAAGTTAAACAACACATTGTGCAATATCTGTGCAGCTGGCTTACAGATACACCTTTCAAACAGCAGCCACAGGTTAACTGCAGGGAGTGCTGGCCTCTGTTTGGAAGAATGGAGATGATAGCTTTCTCTTTTAATTTTTTTGTTTTTCTGTACTCTCTACATTTTATTTAATTTAAAAAATGTCAGCAGGATTATGGTCCACATTTGACTTCTTCTTTAGGATTATTTGCTTTTAAAACTATTATATGTAACTGTTAAAGGAATTTTACAGATCCTTGAAGAAAAATGTAAGTGCTAGGGAACTAACAAATACAACAGGTAGAGAGGAGGAGAAACTAAAAGAATCTGAAACCAGGCAAGCATAAAAAGACCAAAGGAAATGAACATTAAAGCAACAGCAAAACAAGACGTTAAAATTAAGACAGTAAGGAAGCAAATGCAAAATCTCAGACCTATAAATAGGAAAAAGACGGGGAACACTTCTCAAACAAGTTTTAAGCAGTAACTAGTGTTCTATCTCTGCCAGAAAATAAGAGTACAGAGGTTCCTATCCTTATATATTTTTTATCCTTATCTTAATCTTACAACAGAAATGTCTAAAAAGGGAAAGAAAAGGAAAGAAACTTTCTCAGTCTTTAAAGTCTGTTGGATTTCAAGTATACTCTAACAGTAAAGTCCAAATATACTCTCATAAAAACATTTTTGGTGCTTATATTATAAAAATGAATAAACTAACCTATATGCTATGTTGGGACTCTGTAAAGCAAGTGGTGGGCGTGAAGTAAGATCACTTGCCCAAGCTTGTCTGACTAAAGTTCTCTTTACCAATAATGGTGTTTGTGAAATGACTTACCTGGAAGCAGAAAAGACAAATAGAACAAATTACAAAATCTTCTCTGGATGCACTTGCCGAAGGTAACACTGATGTCATGTCATATATTCCCAGTGTAAAGAAGAGAAAGAAACCCAGCAAATGACTCCAGATATTTACCGTCTCATTAGATAAAATAAACAAACTGGAAAACAAACAAAAATGCATCTCAGATTTATACTGTCTTGTTCACTGTCAGCATCTAAAAGATTAGGGACAGTTTTGGGGGGCAGTTATCCAACACTTATTGCTTTAAGCCCTTACCCTCATATTTGCCTTTTAAATACAACATCTCACTCTGCTCAATTAATCTTTAAAAGGATATTAAAAACATTTTTTTAATGTTTATTTTTTGAAAGAGACAGAGTGTGAGCAGGGGAGGGGCAGAGAGAGAAGGAGACACACAATCCTAAGCAGGCTCCAGGCTCTGAGCTGTTAGCACGGAGCCTGATGCCAGGCTTCAATTCATGAACTGTGAAATCATGATTTGAGCTGAGTTCAGACATTTCACTGACTGAGCCACCCAGGCACCCCTGTTTAATTAAATTTTTAAGTTCATCCATGTCTCCACCAATCCTGACATTTTAGAGCTCTTTTGGTGCTCACCCTATTATCATATTTACCATTTCCCTCCTCATATGAGTTATTTATGTATAAATTCCTTCTTGTCCTCCAGCCTATCAACTCCCTAATGGCTGGCACCATCCTTCTTTATGACACCACTGTCCCAAGCATAGTGCCTTGCTCAGACTAGATGCTAAATGTCCATAGAAATGAATGTGCAGATTAAATCTGGATGTTAGCTACATACTTACATGTTTAAAAACAGGTATCTGAAAGCCTGCCAAGTATAAGGTCAGGCACAAACTTAAAGTACCTTTTTAGTACTCATCAAATGTAAATGCAAAATTAAACAGACTCAAGAGAAGCAGAATAAATACAAACTGTACCACTGGAAATGTCCTTTAAGACAGGCATGTCAGGGGTAGTGCCTGGGTGGCTCAGTCGGTTGAGCGTCTGACGTTTGATTTTGGCTCAGGTCATGATCTCACGATTTGTGAGATGGAGCCCCACGCTGGGCTCTATGCTAACAGTGCAGAGCCTGCTTGGGATTCTCCCTCTCTGCCCCTCCCCGGCTTGCCTGCACACACCTGTGCTCTCTCCCTCCCTCTCTCTCAAAATAAATAAATGAACGTTAAAAAAAAAAAAAAAAGATAGGCATGCTGGAACAATTTTGCAGTGGCTGTTTGAAACCAAACTAGTTCACAGGTGGCATGACTTTCTCCTTTTTTAGGAACAATCGGTTACTTTTAACATCAGTACTATTTGCTCACTAAATGCCTAACTGCTTTGAGTTTAAGTCGTCTTGACAGCACAGGCTGGTGTAAAGTGCACCACGCCAACCACGAGTCACAAGGGTCACTGCTCCTGCATCCTCACCCTCAGCAACAAATTAGCTCTGTGATCATGAGCAAGTCACTTCCAGCTCCTCCATTTTGTGAACTGCTTCCCCAGCTGTGAATAGAACTCATCAATAGAAGGTGACATCATGCCTAATGATTAAAATTCTCTTGCAGTTCTCTTGCAAAATCAAATCTTTTTGTTTAAACTAAGATCTTTGACGTTTACTGGTTCAGAATCCTTATAAATAAGCATTAACGTATATACCTCCAATGTACTGAATTGGTAGGAATCACCATGGTTCTCATTTTCCCGCATCATAAACATAACAGGGTCTCACACTATCAATTGATTATCAAGAATAAAGTGAATCTTGTTATGAATTTCAGGTTTTACCCCGTACAAGCGTCAAGTAGCAAGACCACTTATATTGGGGCGGGGTAAGGACGCAGGAATGTGAAGGAACACCTGTAACTATACAACTGTTTTGACGATCAATACTCTGCTCTGCCTGTTGCCTCAAAACTTTTCACTTAGTGAAACCCAGTATACCCTGAGTAACTGAACTGAGAGCCACAAGCTTTGGCATGCTCCTTCCAACTAACAGTGTTGGCAGAACAGCTGTGACATACAAAACCTCTCCTTCCATCCAAAATCTGTTCTGGTCACTCTTGACAGCCAGAAGAAGAGAGGGCAGAAGCTGAACCTGGAAAAGACCAAGCTGGTGGGACGAGCACTTGGAAAAATATTCCCCGTAGAGAATCTACTCTTATGCTGTGAGAAGTTACCCATACTTTGTTCACCTTCAAAGTCAATAATCACAACGATAACAAGTGAGTCACCATTTACCGAGGGCTTGTTAGGTGCCACACCCTGTGTAGCATTTTATATACATAATCTCATTTAATCCTTGATATTTTTTGGAGCACACATTGTGATTACCCTCATTTTCACAAGAGGGGAAAATAAGGCTGAGAGAGCTTAACTTTGTTCAAGGTCCCACAATGGTTAAGTGCAGATCTGGATAACCAAGTCTTTTTGACTCAACAACCCAACATTAAAGCACTGTATGTATTTCGTTTCTCAATCCATGAGATTTGGACACTAACATCAGAATGCAGAGGACTATTGCTACGTGGGTATAAAATACTTAACGGCAATTCGCTACCTGCTCTGTTCTTGTGGAGTCCACATCCATAGCAGGGCCTAGCTCTGATTTCTTGTGTAATAAATTTATGCAAAGGAGACAGTGGGGGTCGGGGGGGGGGATAGTACTTAGGATTCAAACTGTGAAGGCTTGTGGGCCATCCACTGAAGTAGGGATGGGCAGAAATGTCACTTTGTGACTGTGAGTCCAAAACACTTTCAAGACAGGACAGAAAAAACTGAGGAAAGACTATGCTCAAAAGAAGACCAAGAATCAGACACGTGGTTGCTTCTTGAGCAACTTAACAGCCTACATTCCAGCGTTGGGGTTTGTCACCACGGTATCCTAGAGCTAACCGATATCTGCACCTTAATTCTCTTATGTTTAAAAATGTTTATTTTGAGAGAGAGAGAGAGCAGAGGAGAGGTGGGGTCGGGGGTGGGGAGAGAAAAGGAGAGAGAGAGAATCCCAAGCACACTCCGAGCTGTCAGAGCAGAGCCTGATGCGGGGCTCAAACTCATGAACCTTGAGATCATGACCTGAGCTGAAATCAAGAGTCTGGATGGTAACCTACTGAGCCCCCCAGGCGCCCCTGTACCTTAATTCTCTTAAAGTGGAGTTCTATAAGTATATACCTAACACAAAGTTTTAACACAAAGTTATTCTGCTATTTTAAGAACTAGAACACTGGTTTTTCAGTTTTGTTTTTTAAAACCCAGGCTTTCAAGGGACTCATAGTTTTAAAGGTTTAGATGATGAAGAAAGTCCTTTCTTAGAAATGCTTCTAGGGCTCTAGTGGAGGGTGGTGCCCGTTATAGGCTCTCTTTGCTACAGCACTTTTACTACACAGCGTTTTTCACACTGGTTATTATGCAATAGAGTTATTACCTCTTAATGCGTGTCACTCAGACCAAACCTTAGTTTCATGAGAAGAACAAGGGCCTTGTCTGCTGTTCTCTGCTTGACTTAGTATAGTACCTGGCACCTAGGAGGGGCTCCATAGTATCTGCTCAATGAATGAATTGGGTTTCTCTCTCTCTCTCTCTCTCTATATATGTATATCCATATACATATATATACCCATACATTGCATATGGCAATGTGAACTTGTTTTCTATTATATTATTATAATTTCCTATTATATATCATGTTAGGCATTTTATTTGGCCCAAAGCATCTGAGTTTCCACAGGGCTACTCTAAAAATAAAGCTTAGGTATACACAGGGGCAAGTATCACTTGGCCATCGTCAGTGGGGTCGATTCTAATAAGCACCAAATGGGATAAAGGATCTAGAAGCCCTCTGTAAAATGCAAAGCGCCATAGGAAAAATTGCTATAGTGGTAATTATAAACATTGTTAACTGTCATTATTCCGTGGATCTGGCACCCGGGCGGGGGAGGAGGAAAGATAACAAGACGGGAGAGGTGGCAAAAAGGAATGAAAGGGATGGGGCAGCTAGGAAATGACAGGCACGGAGAAAAGCAGGGAAAACACCAGGGACCCCAGACAAAAAAGGTGGGGAGGAGGGGCTGCCGGCGCGCCCCCCAGGCGCGCAGGCGGCCAGACTGTACCTTTTGATACACAGCCTGGAGGGCAGGTAGGCCCGGTAGCCGTCGGTGATGTACGGGTTGTCCTTGAGGGACACGGGGATCTGTTCGTAGGTGTAGAGACGGATGCCGCGGGGCACCAGGACTGGCCAGTACTGGTAGCTGCCCAGCTCGATGTAATGAGCGCTCTTCAGCAGCTTCTGATGCATCCTTCCCAGCCGCCGCCGCTCCCCGGCTGGGGAGCTCGCCCAGGCCCCGCCTCCCCGGGGAGGGGGCTTCGCCGCCGCCGCCCCCGCCCCGGAGCCCGCGAACGCAGCGCGAGGTCCTACGGCCCCGCCGCTGCCCAGGCCCCGCTCAGAGCTCTGACCGGCCACAGCCGTCAGCGCCGCTGCTGACCGGGCGGCGTCGCAGCCTTCTCTGACGTCAGCGCGCCGCGGCGGGCCCCGCCCCTCGCCTTCTTTAGGGCGGGGCTGGATGGGCCTGGGTTGTTGCGACGCGAGAAAGGATGTGCTCCTGGGCTGGCGGCTCGGAGCCGGTCGTTCAGGCAGCTTTAGGCTCGCGGGACGGAGGCGGCTGAGTCTGTATTCATCGGAGAGAAGAGCGTAGAACTGTGCAGGCGAATACAGGTGGTGTTTTCTTCAAGGGGAAAAGAAAAGTGTTCATTGGAAGAAAAATAAGAACAAGAGCTAACGCTGCTCCGTTTACTTTATGCCTAGAATCTCACACATAGCATTAGAAGGGACTCTGGAAGTTTAAGTAGCTGAAAATAGAGGAAAGATGATGCACAGGGAACATTTACCAAAATCGAGCATTACACTAAGCCATAAAGAAACCCCTAGCACGTTCAGAACACTGAAACCATTCAGGGTATGTTCTCTGACCACAATAGAATTACAGTAGAAATAAACAAGAAAACTAAAAATTCCCAAATGTTTGAAATGGAACAAAACACTTGTAAGTATTTCATGGGTTTGATGAAGAAATTACAGTGGAAATGAGGAAATCTACTGAACTGAATGATAAAGATGGAACAGAGCCAAACTTGGGGTGCAGCTAATACAGTGCTTAGAGGAAAAGTTACAGCTTTCTTTGTTTCTGGCAGTGAATTATGATGCAAATGATTTTCCTTTTTTTTTCTTTATTTTATTATTATTTTTTTTAACAGCAACAGGGCAGAACGGTTTTGCATTCCTATATGTAGCATCCTTAGCCTATTATTTGGCATACAATAATCACTTGTGATTTCTAATATTTATTTATTATTATGATGTTAGTAATATTAGCTGATGTTTGGGAAACAGTGTGGCTTAGTGATTACGTTTGGAGCTTTGAAGCTCTACCTGGATTTGAATTCTTGTTCAGCCATTTACAAGCTATATGCCCTTGTGTAAGTACTTAACCTCTTTGTGTCTCAGTTTCCTTATTGGTAAAATAGGGAGAATAGCAGTACTTTATGTTGTGAGGATTAAATGAGTGAATCCATGTAACAGAAAAGTGCCAGGCATATTGTTAGCACCCAACAAATGTTGGCCATTATTAGAGTTCAAGTGAAGGTATATTAGTAGGTAAAACTGGAAAGATAAATTGAAGTATATCCTAAATGGACTTAATGTCATGCAAAGGCATTCTTTCAGCCATGGAGCTAAAATTAATGTTTGAGAGCTAACTGTGTGCCCAGTACATTATCTTTATTGAAGCTTACTATGTGCAGGAATGCTTATTTCCTAACGGAGGAAGTTCATGTCTGAGAATGCCTGTCACTCCCATTGACCCCTTCTGGGAAGCTCCTTCTGCATGTATTCTTGCTGGTATCACATGACACTAACTTGTGGTTACTGCTGACCCAAAGGTGATAAGTGATCTATGAGGTGTCCTGACACAAATGTCCATACAAAAGCAATGGTAATTAGCTTGTCCAATTAGTTTGTTTTTGGGAATTTGACCTGGACATGTGGGAAGGAAGTCTATAGCCTGGTATTTGAAAACAGAAGTAGAAAGATGCTCAGAGATGATCAGAGATTGAGAAAGAATCTGAGTTATGGTACTAATGGGACACTAGAGTGAAGAACTAAGAATGGTAGCTGCTTTGACTGTCAACAATGTACCCATTAAATCTGTTGCAAAATGACTTCTATACTGGCTTAAATAATTTATAACCCATTTCAGTTTTTTCTAATTCATTCATCTGGTTTAATTTTTAAATAAGCACTCTTTGATATCAAGCACTTAAAAAACCCCAGTTATGAAACTTGAGAGAGCTTTTTCACTGACGTCTGTAAGACCATGGAAGCAGGAGCAACATTGCTTTGGGGCACATCTAACATGACAACACAAAAGGGAGAAGTCAGAGTTCTGCATAGATAGCCATGTAATTTTGGCACTTTGAGGGATCTGGTTGTTTAGTCATGGTGCTTGACAGAGAATTAAGCGGTCTGGTAGAGGAATAACATCTGGTGGGGTCTCCAGCACCTGGAGGGATCAAGAGCATCACGTAGCAGGAGAACTCGGTGCCACTGAAGTGACAGGTTGGGGAACTGAACCACCTAGTAAGAGATAGTGAGAAAATGGCAATGCCCCATCATGAGCACCTGTGAGACACATCTTGCATTTTAAAGACACTTGTGTGTGTGGGGGGGGGAGGGGGGTGGCGAGAGTGTTCTCAAGGATCTGGAAGCTCTACATTCTCACATGGGCCCAAGAGCAAGGAAACTTTGAATTTTTACTGTGTCAGTGAGTCAATCTGTACTTTACAGGCATATGCAGTTTGGGAGAACTTGGGATATGCCTTGTTTTATAGGATGATTTTTAGTGAGCTGGGATGGAGAGACATGGGACCTGCATGGAGCATTTGGTTGAGTGAGATATTTTTTCCTTACCTTTCCTCCTTCCTTCCTTCCTGTATACCCTTTTTGCATTTTACAACTGTAACAGTGTTGGAGTGAGACTTGCAGGTATTGATATGGACACAACATGGAAATTTACACTTAACAAGTTCCAACTATATGCCACACATTTTCCTAGACACCAAGAAAACAAAGGTGAATAAGACATCTTTTGCATATCTCAGCAGCATTGACATTTTGACCACTCCTTCACCTTAAACTCTCTTTTCTGGACTTTTGGGACATCCCTCACCTGGATTTTTTTCCTGACCTTTCTGGCTTGTCCATGCCAGGGACCTTTGATACCTGCTGTTTCTCTACCTGATCTTTTTTTTTTTTTTTTCAAAAAAAATTTTTAACGTTTTATTTATTTTTGAGACAGGGAGAGACAGAGCATGAACAGGGGAGGGTCAGAGAGAGGGAGACACAGAATCTGAAACAGACTCCAGGCTCTGAGTTGTCAGCACAGAGCCCAACGCGGGGCTTGAACTCACAGACTGAGAGATCATGACCTGAACTGAAGTCGGCCGCTTAACTGACTGAGCCACCCAGGCGCCCCTCTACCTGATCTTTAAGCCAGAGTGTTTTTCAGGATTCTTTCTTCAGTTTTTTTTTTAATATTCTATTTTTATTCTGTGTATTTTCATGGCTTCAGCTACTATCTTTAAGCTGATGCCTCTCAAATCTGCAGTTTCAGGCCAGATATCCCTTTCGGGCATCTGGGTTCACATATATAACTGGATATAGAAAACCTGAAATAATAAAAATGAACTTATTACCTTTTCTCATAAATCTGTTTTTCATCCCATATCCTCATTCGTTCAGCATCTTAAGCATCAGAGTTTTTTCCTCCCCAACCCCATTTTATCAATACCCCCCTTGTTGTCCTTCCCCATCACTTTAACCAGTTCCTCGCCAGTGATGCCAACTCGCCTGCCTCATTAGGCTGGTCTGAAGAAATATGAACAACAAAGAGTTCACCAATTTAACTATACCCTCTTTAATCCTTTGCTCGAGTTTCTGAAGAAAATGACAAAATGGCATGGATTGGTGTCAGTACAAATTCAGCTTGCAGTCTCTAGGGAACTTCCAACACTACTTTGGCTATTTTCAACATTCACTGAATATCTTATGCTCCCCACCTGCCACCTGCATCAGCAGATAACCTTCTTCCTATTTCACAGAGAAAATAGAGAACAGAGAGTGGGAACTTCCTCACCTTTCTGCTGTTAGCACTCCATCTCTAAGCTCACCACAAGTTCTTTGTTTCCTTTCCATTGTCTCAGTAGAAATGACCACTTTCAGCCTCCTATGTAAGGTCAACCTGCTACCTATTTTTTGTATCATATTCCCTTTAGTATCTTTATGGATTTTGCTCTGTCAATTACTCTTCTCTCAGATGTATCTCCAACATTTGCCTCTCTATATTTTCTCTCCTTTTGCCGCATAAACATGTTCAAATCTCATTCATTTTAAAGCAAACAAGCAAAGAGAGAAAACCTCTCTCTTTGCCCTATGTCATTCTAAACCTATAGATAGCTGTCTCTCCTTCCATTCTCAGCCACACTTCTAGACACAGGAGTCTTCATTTATTGTTCCTGTTTCTAATTTTCCTTTCTTATCTCACTGCAATCTAACTTTTGTTCTAAGGTTCTATTGAAGCTTCTTCTGCCAGTAATGCTAAACTCAATGGACGCTGTTTTTTTTTTTTTTTAAACACCTCTTAATTTTAAAATGAAAATACAAGAATAAACAAATAAACCACAACAAAATGGACTTTGCCAGCCACACCAGTATCCCCTTCATGTACCTCATACCACTCACAGTCTTTAACTTTCCTCTAAAAGTAATGAATACCCTGACTATTAATTGCAAAAGTCAAAAGTTACCCCCTAGTGTTGTTTGATTTTTTTTTTAATCCAAGTGTGTATCCCTTGACATGGTAGTTTGTCTGCCCATTTTTTTTAAACTTGATCTATCTTTTTAAGTCCTTTTTTAAATGTATAGATTTTCTTCCATTCCTTTCATTGCTTACAACTTATCTGTGAAAGAACTCAAAGTTTCTCATAGTCTGTATTCTGCTAGAATCATGATACAGTTCCTATGTTACTCTGTCCTCTATATTTTCTGCAAATTGGTAGTGGGATCCAGAGGTTTGATCACATTCCTGTTTGATCCTTTTGGCAAGACTATAGGTGGTAAAGTGTTCTTTCATGTGGAGACACATAATGTCTGGTTTTTGTTCTTCCTTGATGTTACCAACCAGTGATGTGCCTAGATCCATTAATTCATGGTGGTTGCAAAATAGTGATAATAAACTTTTGTCA